CTATATGTATGTATATATATATATATATATATATATATATATATATATATATATATATATATATATATATATATATATATATTATATATATACATATATACATATATACATATATACATATATACATATATATATATATATATATATATATATATATATATGTATATATATATATATATATATATATATATATATATATATATATATATATATATATATATATATATATATATATATATATATATATATATATATATATATATATATATATATATGTATATATATATATATATATATATATTTATGTATTAATATATATATATAAACATATATATATACATATATATATATAATATATATATATATATATATATATATATATATATATATATATATATATATTGGCATTTAGAACAGTTAAGACGTATAGATTTGTAAAAGAATAGTTAATAGTGTTTTAATATGTATATATAAAGTTTCTAAACTAAGAGATTGCTCAAAATATTAAATAAAATATATATATATAGGTAGCAGGATGTTTTTTAATGTTGTCTACTCACTATCCCGCATAACCTATTATTATAGGTTTTGTATTTTATGTAAATTAAATAAAGAAATATAAATTATCTTTATAGAAATACACCTTAAAAACAACCAAGAATGTTGCAGTCGAATTTAAAATAAAATGTCATTAAGCAATCAAAATACAATTGCATATTTAAACAAATTTGTAAAATTTTATTTTTAAAAAAAAATTATTTAAAAAAAAATTATTTTCACTTTCATTAATGGACTTTAATACCAGAGCTTCACAATTCCTAAAATTAGTATCACAATCCCCTTTCCTAAACCACTTTATGACAATCCTTATGATCAATATAAATAAATGGTGGACCTACTAATGAAATAAACATTAAACTTGACACAGTTTTTATTAGTAAAAAGTTTTGCAAAGTAGAACGCTTTTGCAAAGCTGGTGGTTGCTACATTACCATAAAATTAAATTAGGAAAGTGATTCAAAAGTAACCATTTGCCAAGCATATCACTATCACAAAAGCACTATCACAAGCAAAAGACACCCAACTACATAATTAAAAATCGTCAATACCAAGATTATGTAAAGCACTTATAAAAGTGTTTGCAATAGATGAGGCTTCTGTATTTGCTAATTCGATAAGGTCAAAAAATATACTATTGATGATATTTATTTCTGGATTGTTCAATCGCAAGCAGATTGACAGAGCAGACATTTTGCTCATAGTTGTAGATTTGTTTATCATAAATCCTACTTTACTATCATTAAGTCATATATAGTTTACAAACTTTGTGCACATTTTATTTTTTTTATTATTTTTTTATTTGAATTCACCTTGGGTAGGTGAATTCATGACTTCATGACTTTAGTGCCCATAAAGGCCACTAAAGTCATGAAGACTACTTCTGTTGTGGTTACAACCCTCTCTCAACTCCATAACTTCTAAACACAAACCTTGACAAACAAGGCCGCTGCATGGAAAAACAAGTTAAGCATGGTAGTGGACATGGCGGAGATCGAACATGGAAAAACAAGTTAAGCATGTCCCTGGTAGTGGACATGGCGGAGATCGAACTCGGAATTTCTTGCTTATGAGGCAAGCGCTCTACCACTACACTACTACCAAATGTAAATGAAATGTAATAAATAATATCAGCACATGCATGATCAAATTGTAAGATACAACCGATGTCTAAACCATTTTCTACCTGTAATAATATTAGTTCTTTCAAATTAGAAAATGGATGAATCATTTTTCCAATGTGATAAACAGAACAAAATATGTGGTAGGTAGTTTCATGCAGATTGATCTGCATTTTTGAACTTATCATCTCTATAGTGTGTTTTTCAGAACTGAGAAATAATTTTACAAGCTTTTTTGTGTGCCACTGTTAGCTTACAACTAGAAAGTTTTTTCCTCATTAATAGGTTGCTTTTTTCCTTCACCGCAATATATTGTTTCACCGTACTTTTTGACATTGCCAAGCATCAACTGTCGACCAGTCGAATGTCTTAAATTTTTCCCTCCACTGTACATCAGACCAGTAGTCTAGAAAATTATGACATTACATTGGGGATAAGATAGGCAAGGTCCAATACTCAAAAAACTTGGTCATATCTTTATTTATTCAAGTGTTGTTTTCCAGATTGCTTTTAGAACTGTCACTGACTAACTTTCTTTTCCTTCCACCATTTATCCATATTTACAATAAGTACATTTTTTTTTTTAATCATAACCTTCCATGTTAAGTTAAACTATTGTGAACTATATTTCATTTCACAAAAAAAAAAACGTTAATAACTCTTTAACGAAAAAAAACAACATTTATTTGTTGCTATTAGTAACTTTTGTTTTAAACTACAAAAAAGAAAGACGCAATGTTTTATAATTATGGATTTTGTTTTTGAACTTTCTACCGCAAATTTTTAAGTACAAAATTAATAACAGCTAAAACAATATTTGAATTCAATCATTGCCATTCACTTATTATTTTTACAAGTTTATTTAACACGTTGACCGCCTTGCCTTTTTTTGAAAAAATCACATTGCCAAATAATCTTTTTTTTTTTGAATATTTCGTGTATACATATGTATACACAAATAAGTCAAAGAGGAGTTTTTTTTTTTTAATAATTTTTAGTTTTTGTTTGAACATTCGAACAATAATTTTCTCAAAACCTAAACTATTTAACTTTTAAATATTTAAAAATATATTTTTCCAAAATGTTCCAGAACCTTCCAGCACGCCGATAAACGGGTATATAAACCTAGCGTTTTCTGCTAAACACCAGTTCAGCAATTGTATGGACTTTAAATATTGTTGAATAAATAATTGTGATCGACTGAAAGAAAACTTGACTGTCGAAACTTAACAGTTTTCAACTTTTTTCCTCAAATACTTGATTGATATTACTAATTTTTTGATACAATCGTAAATTTTTATTATTTTCTAGCTATTAATTTTTCTTATTTATTAGAATGGCTGATGATAATATTGAATTAAACGATAGCTTTGAAAGGTTGCTGTTACAAAGTGATGATGAACATGATTCTGATTTAATGGAAACAATTCAACAGGACGAATCTGATGAATCCGATAGTGCTGATAGTGAATCAACTGATGGTGGTAGTGATGATGGTTCAGAAGAATGGTCGAAAAATGTGCAGAAACCTTTAAGATGGGATTTTGATGACGGAACTGCGGGCATGAATATGGATATGGTAATGGATTGCAAAGAACCTGTCGATTACTATAACTTATTTATGAACAACGAACTTATCGATTTTATTGTGGAAGAAACTAATCGTTATGGACCAACAAAGGATTCAAACTATTTGCCGACAAACAATATGGAAATGCGAAAATTTATGGCTATCATTTTGCAAATGGGATATGTTGTTCTGCCTAAACTCGATGATTATTGGTCCTCTGACCCAGCTATTGGCGGTAAAGCAATATGTGGAGGTGTAATGACAAGGAAAAGATTTTATTCTTTGATGAGATCCCTCCACTTCGCTGACAATGACAACAATAATGGATCAAAATTATATAAAATAGAAAAATTTGTCAACTTGTTCATTGCCAGATGTCAACACTTACTGGTTCCAGGCAGAGATATATGCATTGACGAAAGCATGATACCCTTTCGCGGCAGACTTCGATTTCGTATGTATATTCCTAGTAAAAGGCATAAATATGGCATCAAAATCTTTAAATTGTGTAGCAACAACGGATACACTTATAATTTATCAATTTATGCCGGTAAAGAGGACCAGCCAAGATATGGTTCTGTGGCAGAACGTGTAGTTTTAAAACTAATGGAAAACCTTCTTGGACATGGCAGAATTCTGTATACAGATAACTGGTATACAAGTATGAATTTGGCGAAATCTTTATTGGAAAACAAGACAAACTTAGTTGGGACGGCCAGAAAAAATAGAATTGGATTTCCAAAACACGTAACTTCTCTGAAATTGAAGAAAGGTGATTATGTTGCAGAACAAAATGGTGATGGTATTATGATTTTAAAATGGAAAGATAAAAGAGAAGTTATAATGCTTTCATCTATTCACGATGGTAGCATTACGGAGAGAGGAAAACCTGCTGTTATCGTAGATTACAATAAAGGGAAATCGTTTAACGATCTATCTGACCAATTGGGCTCTTATTGTCCATACGTACGTAAAACAATGAAATGGTACCTCAGAATCTTTTTTCATATAATTACTCAAGTTTCCATTGTTAATGCTCTGCATCTTTATAAATTACATAGCGGAAAAAATATCAAAATTGTAAAATTCAAAAGAGATATTGTCTCATCAATTTTGCAACTGGAAAAGCCAACATCTTCTGGACGAAAACATCAACTTGAAAAAGAACCAGGAGAAGGAACTATTCGAAAACGACGTTGTACTGAATGCTACAACAAATTATCAAAAGAATTTGGTGCCACAATTGCCAGGAATCGTGCTAGTCAAATTAAGACAAGATGTGATAATTGTTTAAAACCTTTTTGTTTAGCTTGTTTTCAAAAATGTCATACTAAATGTTGATTTTATTGATTATGTTGATTTTATTTTTTTGTTATAACGGTTTTTTTTAATTCTAATGTTATTTTCTGTTTTATTTTTTTCAAATAAAGTTATCTTTTACCACAGTGTTTTTTATAATTTGAACGAAGTTTTTTTTCTTAAAACGCTATCTATTTAAACGCCATTAAATTTTAAGAATTGATAAATATAAAGAAACAATTGGAAACAAGTAAAAATTAGAATACTTAAAATTAACAAAAATAAATTTACTATCAAAATCGTATATCCATATGGATACACGACTTGAAGAAACGAGAGTTTACGCGTGTATACATATGGATACACGATGCGGTCAACGTGTTAAAGGAAAAAAAGTAAACAAGATTTCCTTTAATTTATTATGTACCGGGACAACATCCCACTCCATAATA